CTCCAAAGGCTAACCTGACTCCAAAGGCTAACCCTGACTCCAAAGGCTAACCCTGACTCCATAGACTAACCTGACTCCATAGGCTAACCCTGACTCTATAGGCTAACCTGACTCCACAGGCTAACCCGGGCTTTTAAAGGATTTTTCTGATCTTGTAGCAGACTGCATCATGAAATAAGATCATGTTCCATTCCTAGGTGATTTTAATATTGATGTGTGTTGCACTGATAATCTGTTGGCTAGGGACTTTCTGGATGTTTTGGACTCTTAATTTAACACAGTGGGTCACTGGCCCTACCCATATTAAAGGCCACACCTGTTTTGTTCTGTTGGCCTCTCCCTTATTAATATTGTGACTTTGCCACCTGTGTGTGTGTGTGTGTGTGTGTGTGTGTGTGTGTGTGTGTGTGTGTGTGTGTGTGTGTGTGTGTGTGCGTGCGTACGTGCGTGCGTGTGTGTGTGTGTGTGTCATGGTGGATGGCTGTTTATACTGAGCCAGGATCCTCTGGAGGTTTCTTCCTGTTAAAAGGGAGTTTACCTCTCCACTGTCATTGCATGCTTGCTTAGTATGAGGAGCAACCTGCTGGGTTCCTTATATAGGAAGCTTGTTACTGATTGGCTTAATAAACTGACCTGTTTTGGAATGTTTACTGTGTGAGGGTCCTTGAGACGACTCTTGTCGTGATTTGGCGCTATATAAATAAACTTGAATTGAATTACTGCTTCGTTCTCTTGCTGGGTTCCCCAGGGTTCTGTGTTGGGCCCATTGTTGTTTTCTCTGTATCTGCAACCTCTTGGTTTGATGTTAAAGTAACATGGGTGTCATTTTCACTGCAATGCAGATGATACCCAGGTGTACGTGCCTTTTAAGAGGGGCCACAATCTTGCTTTGCTGTCTCTGTTAGATTGTCTTGTTGAGGTTAGACAGTGGATGTTCTCTAACTTCCTTCTTTTTACTGACAAAAAGACAGAGGTTGTAGTTTTTGGTCCAGGTACTTTGTCTAGGGTGGGTGCACTGGACCTCGGTTAGCTCGCTCCATTCTTGAAACTGAGTGTGACGTCCCTGAGTGTTGTACCGGTGTCGGTACAGTATCTGCTCGGGTGCAAGATCGGCTCGGGTCCGTCGACTGCCGATGACGTCTAAGTAGTTGATTGGCTGAACATGAACCTTACGGAATTACGTAATCACGTAACGTTGTTATCACGTGACGTTGGTCCAGGCAAATTTTTTCTATTGGAAAGATGGACAACTTTTACAAAGAAATCCATCATTACCTCTTTGAAAATACACTTTTAGCATAGAGCTGCAAGTATATTAGGGCTGAACGATTAACTGCATGTGCAATTAAATTGTGATGTGACAAAAGGAGATTTTCTAATGGCAAAGGCTGCAATTTGGCAGCGAGTGGTTAGCGCAATGCTAATATACATGGAAAAACCCATAGGAATGCTAATGCTAATATCGCCGATTACATTATTACAAATTATGAATTAGAAACGTGGCAAATGATTACATTTGGAGTCTAATAGAAAGTAAAACTACCATCAATCAAATAAGTACAGACAGGTATTTTAGTAAAGCCAGAAAACTTTTAACTCCAGAGTTTTGGCTAGCAGCTATGAGCGTAACTGAACTACGCATGGACAAGACGTCAAAAACTCAACACAAATACTTCAATAAACGGGACACACTTCTTTCCTGCAAATACAATTTCACAGGTGTTGCTAATACCTATGATCCTTCAAGGGATGTGCTCAAAGAGGAGTTCAACATGAATCAAATATAGTGTTTTATTTTACAAATACTATTATAAACACAAACTTACGTCTTAAGAAACATTATTTTAATAACGAAACTGCTAAATTCTTTCCAACAGTATAGACGTGTAGTGTATTTTGTCCGAGTGGGTTTGCCGTACTTTGACGTCATCGGCAGTCGAAGGACCCCGAGCCGATCTTGCACCCGAGCAGATCCTGTACCGACACCGGACGGGGATCTTGTCTTGGACAGGCAGATCAGTGCGGTGAATGAATCTAGTTTTCATCAATTTAGAAGGATCGCCAAGGTAAAGACCTTGCTGTCAAAAACGGATTTTAAAACAGTAACTCATGCTTTTATTACATCAAGGCTTGATTACTGTGATTATTTGTACCTTGGTGTTTCACAACCCCACCTCTCACGTCTTCAGTCGGGGCAGAATGCTGCTGCACTCCTTCTTACTGGGACGACAAAGATGGAGCACGTTCCTCCTGTCCTGGCCTCACTGCACTGGCTGCCTGTTCGCTTTAGAATCCAGTACAAGGTGCTTTTAAATCTCTGCATGGCCTTGCTCCAGATGACCTCTCTGAGCTACTGGTGTTCTACTCCCTGCACGGTGTCTGAGGTGGGCTGATAGGACGCTCCTGGAAGCCCCAAAAACCAGACGTAAGCTCAGCGGTGACGGGGCTTTCTCCGTAGCGGCCCCTAGGCTCTGGGATGAGCTGCCTTCGAGCATTAGGTCGGTCTCTACACTGTCTGGTTTTAAATCTCTTTTGAAAACCTACGTTTATGATTTGGCTTTTAACTCAGCATGGGTCTTTTAAATGTTACTCCCTGAGCCAGGGCAGGTGGTCCAGCGGAGTGTCGATGCACAGCATCCTTCAGTATTCTGCGTCGGCCAGAAGAGGTTTAGGTCTGGGGGGGAGGAGGCTGTGGAGGTTGCTTCTTACGGACTACAGACTCCTGCTGGATGGCATCAGATGGTTGAGAGGGAGCCTGGAGGTATCAGCTGGTCGTTCCTCAGCAAGTGGAGAGAAGCGGTTAGAAAGACTGAGGTCAGGTGGGGGGGGGGGGGGGGGGGGGGGGGGGGGGGCTCTCCTACGGCCACGTACCACAACCTGTGGCCAAGATGAAAAAGGGTCAGGAGCAGAGCTGGAAGTGGGTAGTCGTGGTGCAGCAGGATCCCAAACAGTGGTGTGTTGGAGCAGAGAGTTCTGATTGGACGTTTCTTTTTCAGACGGACTGATAAGGTCTGGGTCAGTGAAGGAAGACGAGATCTGAAACTATCCAGCAGAGAGTCGTCGTACATCCTCTTTAGCATCTGAATCCTCGTCTTTGCTTTAGAAAGCATCAAGCCGTCGTTGTGGGGCGGAAGGAGAGGGAGGACAGACGTTCAAGACAACTTCAAGGTTGCAGAGCTTTAGCTGAGCTGCCTCCGAATCCAGAAATTGGTGAAAGGATAGAAACTGGTTTTGAGAGGAATTAGAGCACAAAAGAAGGAGCTGACGTAAACACGTCTGCAGGCTTCTTGAGGTGATTGTAGTTCATCATCACCAGGGTGAAAGTGTGTGTGTGCATGGGTAAGTGGCTGATTGTGTTGTGAGGCATCTTGGGGGGTTGTAGAACCCTAAGAAGCTATACAAAAAAAACCCATTTACCATTCTGACCAGATGCCTGAGCCACCTCAACTGGCTCCTCTCGCTGTGGAGGGGCAGCGGCTCTACTCCGAGCCCCTCCCAGATGACCTGTAGCCGTGATCTCGTTCTTTCGGTCACTACCCAGAGCTCATGACCATAGGTGAGGGTAGGAACGTAGATCGACCAGTAAATCGAGAGCTTCGCCTTCTGACTCAGCTCTCTCTTCACCACGACAGACCGGTACAACGCCCGCATCACTGCAGATGCAGCACCAATCCACCTATCGATCTCACGCTCCAGTTTTCCCTCACTCGTGAACAAGACCCCGAGATACTTGAACTCCTCCACTTGGGGCAGGACCTCATCCCTGACCCGGAGAAGGCATTCTACCCTTTACCGAATCAAGACCATGGTCTCAGATTTAGAGGAGCTGATTCTCATCCCAGCTGCTTCACACTCGGTTGCGAACCGCTCCAGCGAAAGCTGAAGATCACGTTCTGATGAAGCCAACAGGACCACATCATCTGTTAGCATCAATCCATAAAGTGTATAAAACTTTAAACTTTCTTAAAATATTGTTGTTGCTTCTGATCAAAAAGGATGATTGAAGCAATCCCTTCAGCTGATCTGGTCCCGCTCAGGGAGGAGGACCAGGAGGACACCCCCACCCCCCACAGACCCGTTGCTGTGTCGTGTTGAGATGATTGTTTTTCTCATACCTGCCTTTCCTTTAGTTGTTGCTAGGTTACCACGTTTAACCGGGGCGGGAGCATGGACGTAATTTTCACTTTAGAAGTGGGGGGGACACGGGGGGGGGGGGGGGGGGGGGGGTATCTTTACGGTATGTTCTAATGGGAAACAGGCTTCAACACAAACGGTTGTTTTCTGCTTGGTCCTAAAGCTCAACCAGTGTCAATTTAATATAAAGTAATATTGTTTTTGGATGGTAAAAAGCGCAGGGGTCAAAACTTGACTTTGGAAAAAGTGGGGGGGACATGTCCCCCCTGTCCCCCCCCCAAAATTACGTCCATGGGCGGGAGGTAAACCCTGAATCAGAAACGCTTTTATTTGTGCTGCATTGATGCAGCAAGAAAAATCCAACTTCTCCAGGTGAGTGAACTCCCATCACTGAGCGGAGGCCTGTTTCCTTCCTGAATCATAAATAAACAAAAACAATCTGACAGCTGCTGCTCAGAGCTGGACTGGGCCAGAACCAGAATCCACGGGTCTCAGAACCACAGCGTTCTGATGGATCCGGTCAGAGGTCAGAGTTCAGCCCGACCATCATCAACAGACACATCAGAACCAACATCCGGTTCTGATGAGGCAGAAAACAGGCCGGTATGGATGTGGTGCGCGTGCACGCCTGTGTGATGTTCAGTGATGCTGACGAACCTGCAGGATCCAGTCAGGCTGCGGCCGACTGACCCACTTCCTACGGAACCAACGAGGTGCTGGCTGCCTGCGGGCCGAACCGGCGGGTCCACACACACACACACACACACACACACACACACACACACACACACACACACACACACACACACACACACACACACACACACACACGAGGCGGTTTCTGACCGAACCCTGCGTGTCCTCACCTGGACGGAGGCGAGCAGGATCCCGGTGAGGAGCAGCGGGACCAGCATGATGCGGGTCCGGGTCTTGGGGTCTCTAGAGTCCGGCCTGCTGGATCTCAGTCTGCTGCATCCAAACAAAGACGGTCCTTCTTCTGCATCGGGCGATGCTCCGCGACCCGAACCGTTGTGAGGTTGCGATCCGCTCCAATGGTTTCGCTTCATCTACATCTTCCTCAACCGAACCGAGCCTGCTGAGACGGACTGGAGATGGGCCGGACTCTAGGGTCCATTCCGGGGGCTGAAGACTAGCAGGAGGTCGGTGTCGGTGAACGGGATGGAGCTGCTGCGCGACGAGGCCCCGCCCTGAGCGGGGGGAGGAGGGAGGGGGTCATGACGTCTCGTGGAGCAGATAGGAAGCCCTGTCCCTGTCAGAGTCCTGATGGGTCCAAGTCTGGGTCAGGACCACTGTACTCTCCACAGGATACCATCTATGAGTAGCTCTGACCCAAAAGGTTCTGGCAGACTGTAAAGACTGGAAAACACCAACAAGTCCTCACACCTGCCAAATGCAGTCTAATCAGAGGGCATTGCTGTCTCAGAGAAAACTAAAATGGTAAATTCCTTCAGTAATCTTTATCAAGTCCAGCCATGTCTTTGCAACAGCTTCACTCGTCTCCGGGGTCTCTGACCTCGACTCAGCTAAGCAACGATTCCCTCTCCACACCCAGTTCCTGTTTCTCCGTTCAGGTGTTTCAGGTAAACGAGGTACTCGGGTTAGATCCTCATAAATCAGCTGGACTGGATACTCTGGATCCTTTCCTTCTGAAATAGCAGCACGTGTTATTGCTGCACTTACCCATCTGTTTAACCTGTCCATACAAACTGGTGCATGTCTGCAGGACTGCTTCAGTTACTCCACTCTTTAAAGTGACCAGTGACGACATGTTTTTTCTTTTTTTTTGAAAGATGGCGCCGGTGTGTGTGGCAGCTCGTCTATTGCTCCTGAAGCTTTTTTTCTGCTTCATGTTAGTTTTTCTTTCCTTGAAATTTAGCAGTTCTATCCGGGTGTATGATCGTAAAACCTTGCTCGGGATTCGCCAAGCAGCTGAGGGCTTATCGTTCTCTGGAGGTTTTGGTCAGAATGGAGCGCCACTACTGGATGGTTCTTTGGGCTGCGTGTGCTACGTGGCAACCTTACCTTGATGGAGGAGGCGCCGGAGACGGGGGAAGCGTGCCGGATGCTGGATGAAGCTGAGATCGGCTCGACGTGGAACGTTGGATGCTGTGTGTGGAGTTGTGGGCTCAGAGGGGGACGGTGGGTCGCCGGAGCACCAGTTGGATCCGGTGCCGTTGAATCTGGCGGCTTCCGGATTGGTATCGGTGGTGTGCGGCGGCGGGATGATACAGTCGCGGCGCCCTGCACCACAGCGGCGAGCGTGCGGGAGAGGAGTTCACCGACAAAATCTACTTGAGGTGATATGTGAATCAGCAGAGCCCTCGCCAGTGAATCCAGAAGAATTGACTGTAACAGCATCTTCTTCCGTCATCAGGTTTGCTCTGTCTAACGCCAGATCTATTATGAATAAGACTTTTATTCTGAAGGATTTTATTGAAACAAATGGTCTGGAGTTCCTGTGTGTTACTGAATCCTGGGTCCCTAAAGATGAAACTGCTGCTTTTGTGGAGCTTCTCCTGGATGATTTTACATATTTTAGTGTTCCGAGACCCTCGGGGCGTGGTGGAGGATTGGCAGTGATATTTAAATCATCAATTATGTGTAGGCAGGTATATCCATCCTCTGTGCCTACCAGCTTTGAACTCTGCCTCTGTGAGCTTGGATGCTCTCAGAAGCTACTGGTTGCTCTCCTATATCGCCCACCGAGACAAAACTTTGATTTTATGGATGACTTTACTGAACTGCTTGGCAAGCTGATTCCTAAGTATGCTCAAGTGTTACTTCTTGGGGACTTTAACATACATGTGTGCTGTCAGGATAAACCTTTGGTGAAAGATTTCTTAAATCTCGCGGACTCTTTTAATTTGGTTCAGTTAGTGGACCAACCCACACACGTTAGTGGCCATATTTTAGACTTGGTGCTGTCACTGGGGGTAGGAGTCTCCAACCTGCAGGTCCAAGAGGCCTATTTTTCAGATCACAGGCCAGTATTGTTTGATGTGGCCTGGACTCACAAACGGGTGCAACAATATGCTCCGATGAAGCGTTGTCGGATGTTAAAAGACTCTACAGCTGCTGAGTTTGCCGCAGTGTTTTCTATGAGGGGTGCAGAGCAAGACTACGGAGCTTGGACCACAGATGAGCTTGTTATACATTTTGACTCAGCATGCACCTTGGCGCTTGATGTGGTTGCCCCAGTATGGGTAAAGAAGCCTAAAGCTACAAAGGAGCCATGGTTAACCGAGAGTACTCGAGCACTAAAAAGGATGTGCAGGAAGGCTGAGCGGAGGAGGAAAAAGGATGGGCTCCAGAGCTCGCTTGACCAAGTGAGAAGTCTTTGGATTGGCTATCAGAAGGCTGTGAAGGATGCAAGGAGAAAGTACTTTGCAAACATAATCTCCTTAAATTCTCAGAGTGCTGGGATACTTTTTAAGACAGTGGACTCTATTTTAAATGTCAATGAGCCCCTTGCGATTGAGTACTCCACTGAGTCATGTAACAACTTTTTAGACTTCTTTGTAGACAAGGTAAGGGTGACAAGGGCCTCTATTCCACCACTTAAGCACGCCCCCTATGCCGATCTATGTGTTCCTAAGGCACTGGAGGGTTTTCAACCATTAACTCTTGCAGAACTTGAGGATCTGGTCGTGAGACTTAAGCCAGCAGGGGCGGTAACTGATGTTCTCCCGGCAAGGCTACTGACAGAAGTTTTTCCTGTAGTGGGTGATCACATACTGAACATTGTAAAGAGCAGCTTGATTTCTGGGGAAGTCCCTAGTCCCCTAAAGCAGGCGGTGGTGCGACCTCTGCTTAAGAAATCAGGATTGGACCCCACAATCTTGTCCAATCACAGACCTGTATCTACACTCCCTTTCATCTCAAAGATCATAGAGAGGGCTGTGTTTATCCAACTGATGTCTTTTCTACAGGAATGGGAAATTGGAGAAGTATTTCAATCTGGGTTTAAACCCTTTCATAGCACTGAATCGGCGCTGCTTAAGGTCCTTGATGACATTTTATTGGCAAATGATTCTGGTGATGCTGTGGTTCTGGTGCTCTTGGACCTGTCATCAGCCTTTGATACCGTTGATCATAACATCCTGGTTAAACGGCTGGAGCGGTCTGTTGGCATTACGGGCCAGGCACTTCAGTGGATACGATCGTACCTGACTGGGAGGAGTTTTTGTGTGAGGTTGGGGGACTGTTGCTCCGATCTGGCTGAGCTGCCATGGGGAGTTCCCCAGGGATCGATTTTGGCCCCACTATTTTTCTCCTTATATCTCATACCCCTGGGTGAACTATTTTGTAAACACAATGTGTCATTCCATCTCTATGCTGATGATTGCCAGGTCATTTTTCCAATTAAGCGTGGTGGTTTATGCACCATTCAACCTCTGTTGGACTGCCTTGAGGACATCAAGCAATGGCTGGCTCAGAACTTCTTGTGTTTCAACGAACACAAGACTGAAGTTATTCTGTTCACGCCACCAAAGACCCCAGGAGGTGCCCAAGGGCTTGATTTTTACACTCTGGCACCGCATCAGAAGGCGGTGGTCTCTAACTTAGGGGTAAAACTGGACGCAGATCTCAGATTTGATGCTCAGGTGAACAGTGTTGTGAGATCTTGCTTTTTTCATCTACGCCTCATTGCGAAAATTAAGCCATTTCTGTCCCATAATCATTTGGAAACTGTAATCCATGCCTTTATTACCTGCAGGCTGGATTACTGTAATTCGCTATATGCGGCGCTTAGACAAGCTCCAGTAGCACGCCTCCAGGCGGTTCAGAACTCGGCTGCTCGGTTGCTAAAATCTACCAGGAGGTCTGAACATATAACACCAGTCCTACGTGCCTTGCATTGGCTCCCTGTTTTTTATCGCATCAGGTTTAAGGTCCTCCTGTTTGTGTTCAAGGCGTTAAACACAGGGGCTCCTAAATATCTTTCCGATGTCATCCACCAGCATGTCCCGGTGCGTTCCCTTAGGTCAGCTGACCAGAGATTACTAACTGTGCCTAGGTACAGCCTGAAGTCTCGTGGTAGTCGAGCTTTTTCAGTACTTGGACCAAGTCTCTGGAATGAGCTGCCAGCCGATGTAAAACAGGCCAAGTCATTAGAAACCTTTAAAGGAAGACTGAAAACACATCTTTTCTCGCTGGCTTTTGGACGTTAAAGTTGGGGGAAGTAGGCCAGATATGGAATGTGAACTGGCACTCAGGTTTTTGTACTGTATTTTAAAATGGATTTCTTATTGTATTTTTATAGGATTTATTACGGTATTTTACAGGGATTTTTTAGTGTATTTTAATGGATTTTTTAATGTATTTTAATGGTCATATCTCTGTCCTATTGTGTGGCATTTTATTGATGTACAGCGCTTTGTTTGTCCATTCTGGCCATGTGAAAGCGCTCTATAAATAAAGTTGATTTGATTTGATTTGATGTTTAGCTGCACGCTGTCCTTCAACCACTGGTTGTCTAGGTGGTGTCCTGAAAACAACGTGGGCTACATTGATAATTGGAAAACTTTTTGGGGAAAACCTGGTCTGATGCGGAGAGACGGCATCCATCCCTCTTTGGATGGAGCAGCTCTTCTTTCTAGGAACATGGCCAGTTTTATTAGTCCTCCATGACAACCCAGGGTCCAGACCAGGAAGCAGAGTCGTAGTTTAACCCACCCCTCTGCAGCTTCTGTACTGTTACCCACCCACTACCCCATAGAGACAGTGTCCTGCCCACGGCCAAAACCACACAGATTAAATATCAGGCTTAATAAAGCAAATCATGGAAATCTCATAAATATTAGAACAAATTCAACTGAGCAGAAAACTAGAAAAATTAAATGTGGGTTGTTGAACATTAGATCCATTTTTTCAAAGACTTTGTTAGTTAATGACTTGATTTGTGATAATCAGATCTCTTTGCTCTCTCTCACAGAATCCTGGCTGCAGCAAGAGGACTATGTTAGCTTAAACGAGTCGACTCCTTCAAATTATTTAAATCATCATATTGCTCGAAGTACAGGGCGAGGAGGAGGAGTGGCAACCATTTTTCATTCGGACTTATTAATCAGTCCCTTACAGATTAATAGTTACAGTTCGTTTGAACATCTTATTCTTAGTTTTCCTAACCCAGATTGCAAAACTGTAAAACCACTCTTGTTTGTAGTTTTATATCGTCCACCAGGCCCTTACTCTGAGTTTTTGGATCAGATCTCTGATTTTTTATCTGATTTGGTGCTAAATACTGATAAGGTCATTGTAGTGGGGGATTTCAACATTCATGTGGACATTGAAAATGATTGCCTCAATGTAGCCTTTAGTAATATCCTAGACTCAATTGGTTTTACTCAAAGAATACATAGCTCCACCCACTCCTGCCATCATACATTGGACCTTGTGCTGACTTATGGCATAGAGTGTGAGGAAATAACGATCTTTCCACATAATCCAGTCCAGTTCTCATTGGCGTTTGGACATTGAAGTTGGGTTTGGGTGGGCAGCGTCACTTCGAATGTTTCTGGATTTGATTCTGGTAACAGGGCTGATGTGGATTGCTTAACTGTACTCGGAAATTCTCATTGTTTATGTTAGTGGTTATATATGTTTGTTTTATTGCTGTGTTTTTTATTGGTGTACAGCGCTTTGTTTGTCCGCTTTGGGCATGTGAAAGCGCTTTACGAATAAAGTTGATTTGATTGGATAATCCTAAATTTCTTTTCAGTACAGTTGCCAAACTTACACAGAATCATAGCTCTGAGCCATCTATTCCCTTAGCCCTCAGCAGTAATGACTTCATGGGATTTTTCAAAAGTAAAATTAATTCTATTAGAAACAAAATCTTTAGCATCCTCCCTAATGCGATTTCTTCTTCCTCAGTAAGTGAGGCAGCATCAGAGGTAACTGTAGAACCTCATCTGTGCTTGAACCGTTTTGATCCAGTTGAGCTTTCAGAGTTATCAAAAATATTAGCTTCATCTAAACCTTCAACTTGCATTTTAGATCCAATCCCAACCAAATTATTTAAAGATGCATTTCCTTTGGTTACTGCCCCCATTCTAGATATAATGAATCTATCCTTAGTAAATGGGTATGTACCACAAGATTTTAAGGTTGCTGTAATCAAACCTTCACTTAAGAAGCCTTCTCTGGATCCAGATGACCCAATGAATTATAGACCAATATCTAACCTTCCATGTTTATCCAAAGTCCTGGAGAAAATAGTGGCCATCCAAGTATGTGAGCATTTAAACACTAATGCTCTGAGGAATTTCAGTCTGGTTTTAGAGAGTATCACAGCACTGAAACTGCGTTAGTGAGAGTTACAAATGATATTCTCATGGCCTCAGATAAGAATCTTGTGTCTGTTCTAGTCTTGTTAGATCTCAGTGCTGCCTTTGACACAGTTGATCACAATGTTCTTTTAGAAAGACTTGAACATGTTGTAGGGATCAAAGGAACAGCGCTGGGGTTCAGTATTAGAGGTTGTGTTGGTTTTTCTATTGCCGATATTTTGGAGACGTGGTCAGCCAATGGCCGACACGTACTGCTGGTATTTATGGGACGATTTTCACGGCCGTTATCTGAAGCTGAATCAGTGTTTGAACTCTAAATTTAATTAACTGTTAACTCTTAACTTGATGCACTACTCAGTGTTAAAGTCAGACACCTAATTAAAGTTAATAGTTAGAGTATTTATTATATGCAGATGGTATTAGTGGAGCATTGATGCATCGAGATGCGGACATAAACAATTCTGAATCGTAGAAGAAGCTCGCCATAATTGATTATAGTGAAATACAGTTTTGTTTTTTAACCACGGCACCAGCGTCACCTCCAAATTAATCCAGATTTGGACCAGTGAGTCATGGTAACTGAGCAGGTTGGGTCGTGCAGAGCGCTCCACACAGCCGAGAAGCAAGGGGGAGTGGTTGCACACAAGAGAGAGGTGCGGAGAACTCTACACATGCATTATTATCCCTCCTCTGTTTTAAGAAGCGCTTAAAAACTCAGGTTCAGTCGGGCTCAAACCAAATGTTATGTCAGGTGTTGGGGAGGGGGTGGGGGTGAGTACATGTTGTAGGGATCAAAGGAACAGCGCTGGGCGGGTTTAAAGCCTACCTGTCTGATAGATTTCATTTTGTAAACGTACATGACAAATCTTATTCATACTCCAGGGTTACTTGTGGAGTACCACAGGGTTCAGTGCTTGGACCAATTCTTTTTGCTATGCTGACGATAGTTATATTTATCCATTAACCCTGATTACAGTCTTGTCTTGAAGACATTAAATTGGAGAACTCAAAACTTTCTGCTTTTAAATCAAGACAAGACGGAAGTTCTCATCTTTGAACTCGAAATTCAGAGGAGCAGGGAGATGAAAGTGCCCCCCCCCCCCCCCCCCCCCCCTTAAGAAAACCAATAGAGGGAAGGTACAACAGTCGTTGATTATGGTTGTACATGTGATTTAGGAAGACTAAGGGGTCGTGATCTGTGAACACGAGAGTGGTGAATTTACTTTTTCCTACATATACTTGAAAATGTTGTAGAGCCCAGTTGAGTGCTAATGTCTCCTTTTCAATGGTGGAGTAGTGGAACTGAGCCTGGATGAACTTCCAGGAAAAATACCAAACAGGATGATCAAGCCCATCAGTATCCTCCTGGATTAAAACGGATCCAGCCCCGGCGTTGACGTCCAATTTAAACAGCTGGGAAAGATCTGGAGCTGCTAGGACAGGAGCACAGCACAGGAATTTTTGAAAGGAGACAAAAGCAGCTTGACACCCAGAAGCCCAAGAAAAAGGGATGAGAGTACTTCGCATCAGTGAGGGGCTGAGCCACAACCGAGAAGTTTAGACAGAAACACCTATAGAACCCAGCCATACCTAGAAAATCGCCGGAGCTCACGACGGGTTGTTGGAGGTGGAAAGGAAACCATGGCCTGGATCTTGTCCGTTAGGGCTCTTACTTGTCCATGACCAACTTCCTTTCCTAGGCAGTGGACCGTGGGCTTTCACGAATTCATGCTTATCCAGGCTCAAAGTGAGGTTAGCTGACTTAAGATGATCAAAAACCTGGTTTATTGACTGCAAATGAAGATCCCAGGAAGAAGTAAAAAATCACAATATCGTCTAATTAAGCACTACAATGAGGGACACCACACATAACGAGCCTCTGAAACGTGGCAGGGGCATTTCTTAAGCCAAACGGCAACACAGTGTACTGTAAGAGATTGTCGGGAGTTACAAAAGCAGAGACCTTGGAAGCAAAAGGCGTTAAGGGAACTTACCAATACCCTTTGAGAAGGTTGAGTCTAGAAACAAGGGATGCTGCTCCCACACTGTCTACGCGGTCATCCACAGGAGCAAAGGGAATTAATCAGGTATAGTAGATGCATTAAGTTTACGATAGTCTGTGACAAACCTAGTACCATCGGGTTTGTTTTCTAACAAACAAGGGGAACTCCATAAAATAGTACTCGGTATTGCTAGCCCGTTTTCAACTAAGTAGTTTACCTCCTGTTTCATCAACTCACACTTTTTAGGACTGGCTCGGTAGGGGTGCATCCCAGCGGGAGTTGGGTGTGTAAGCGTGAAGTCATGGGTTATCAGATGAGATTGCGAGGGAACATCTGAAAACAGCTCAGGGAAAGAGAAGTAGTCGCACACCCGCATCAGTATAATTATAAATATAACTGAGCACTCTCACTAGCGCAGTCTTAGTTCTATGCTTTGCTCTAAAACCCGATTGAAAAACTTCTAAAAGTTGGTTATCATCTAGACGGTCAGAGAATTGCTTAAAAATGACTTTCTCATGAACCTTAGAAAGAAACAGCAGTGTAGAAATAGGCCGATAATCGGATAATACAGACATCAAGACCGGGTTTCTTGAGAAGGGGTTTGATTACAGCTCTTTTCAGAGTCTTCGGAACATCCCCAGACTGCAGACTAGAGTTGATTACACTATGAACCATGTTTGAAATAGCTCGCCAAACATCCTTAACAATAGAGGATGGAAAAATGTTGAGCGCAGAGCTCGATGGTTTCATGCTGCCAACATAACTGGAAATACAGACTCAAAAGAATTCAAAGTAGTTGAATCAAACAAATATCACTATCAGTAAAACAAGACTGCTGGGGTATCTGAGACAACCACAAATAAATTTAGTTTTAGTAAATACAAATGAGTTAGAATTATAAAAGTTGTTTTTTTGATGACACATTCTCTCCAATGCATGTGTGGAGTTGGCGTGTTCTCCTCATGCATGTGTGGAGTTGGCGTGTTCTCCTCATGCATGTGTGGAGTTGGCGTGTTCTCCTCATGCATGTGTGGAGTTGGCGTGTTCTCCTCATGCATGTGTGGAGTTGGCGTGTTCTCCTCATGCATGTGTGGAGTTGGCGTGTTCTCCTCATGCATGTGTGGAGTTGGCATGTTCTCCTACTGCACGTGTGAAAAGTGTGGAAAGTAGATACAAAAATTTTACTATGAAAGCAAGCAGGCCTGAATTTTCATTTAAACCTTTATTCACAGAATATTTTGCTTCAATTTCATAAGAAAAAACTAACAAATGTATTTTTTTCTAAGAGGACATGTTTTTGTTAAATATGCCACCAGTTCATTTACTTTATACTCACGTTTTAGATTAAAAAAAAATCTAAAATAGTTTCAGATTTTAAAACTTGTTGATCTGTAATGGGCCATTCCCATCTGTACCGGGTCGGGTCGGCCCGGGCCGGGTAGCCCCAGTCGGCCCCAGCCTGGCCCGGTTGATTCCACACATCCTTGCCTTAAGCACATGTGGGCTGATTCTACCCACCAATCAGAGGCTTGCTCTAATGGAAGGTGTGAAGTTGCTGTCAGCAGTGGGTGTGTTGGCCCTGGTCGGCCTGAAGCAGACCCCCTCCAGAAGAGGGCTGAGAATGAGCCTTGGTCGGCCCGGAAAAACACCAGGCCACCCAGATATGTAAACAACCTACGCTACCCGGCCCGGGCCGACCCGGTACAGATGGGAATGGCCCATAAGAGTCTGTCAATCACACGACCGACACGCCCCCTTGCACCATGTTGTAGTGAGTGGAACAGAAAAACCTTCGATTGTCCTGCTGGGGGACATTTTATCATCAAATTAGATTCACAACAGGAACAAAGAATAAAGGCTGAATCATTCATGATCAGCTTTAGGAAACAACGGGAGAGTGCGCCATATCACCACCTCTCTGGTTTAAGGAACAAACACGGAGGCTTTGTAGGAGTTTAGGGAACAGGAATCAGCGGAAGCGTCTCCAGGGCTAGTGTGCAAGGTTTATTCCCATTCCAACCACAGGACTGCAGGAACACAGTCGTAAAATGAAAAGTATGAGAACAATACCTTTAAAGTATTATAACCTTCTCAATAAAAGGATGAATGCGTTATGACGTCTTATTCACATCAAGGATCCTGAAGTCTGATGTCCACAGAGGAAGACTTAAGCGACCTTCATGGCCCGACTACCCAAAACGCACCATGCTTTAGCAAATCTAACTGATGGTGATCTGACGTTTGTAAACCTTTATTTTATTATTTAAAATGTTATTTAATAAGATGATGAAGTTTCAGTTAAATCATCCATTTACACTGTTCTGCTGATCTGGCGTTGAGCCACGGGGGCAGCAGCTTAAGCCAGGAGGCCCAGACCTCCCTCTCCCCAGCCACTTGTGTCAGCTCCCAAGGAGGAATCCTAAAGGCGTTCCCTGGCCAGCCGAGAGACAGAGTCCCTCCTACCTGTCCTGGTTCTTCCTTTAGGTCTTCTCCTGGTAGGACGGGCCCGTAAAACCTCACCAGGGAGGCGTCCAGGAGGCATCCTGACCAGATGCCCGAGCCACCTCAACTGGCTCCTCTCAGTGTGGAGGAGCAGCGGATCTACTCTGAGCCCCTCCTGGATGACCGAGCTTCTCACCCTCTCTGAAGCCTAATATATACTTCTCTGTCTGCCATCATGTGTCGACACGAGCCCTCCAACGTGCTTGCAAAAGGAAGACGGAGACATGCCCCAGTTTTGAACTATCCGTTCAAAGAGACTGAGACCGCAAGCGTGTGACTGGTCAGGACGCTGCTTCCTGTGAATTCGTCAACAGCACCGTCTTTGCTGCTTCAAGAAGGAAAGAGATATTTAGCGGCAGACACGGAACAGATTGACGAACGCATCACGAAAAATGAACATTTCCTCACCCGGGACTGAGAGAGTATGAAGTGTTTTACTCGTGCGTGGAAAAGACCAGAACCGTAAGTTTAGAGGTGCCGATTGCATGAAGAGGTGGAGAATGAGGGATACTGTTGTCCATGTTCAAAAGTCTCTGAAACACATTAAAACAATGTAAACACATTAGTAAATTCATCATGGTAGACCGGATACACGACTGCAATGGTGGCACCATACCTCAGGATAGCGCGACATCCTCCGTTGTCCTGGGCGGGAACGGTTTTGCAACCATCCTCAGCAGACGGAGAAGTCTGAAAGCAAAACGCCTCTGTCAACACGCATGTGTCGCTCCGCCGCAGAGAAGTATCAATCAGGCTTAAGGGAGAGCCCAGACACTCTGGGGAGAAAACTCATTTCAGCCGCTTGTATCCGTGATCTCGTTCTTTCGGTCACTACCCAAAGCTCATGACCATAGGTGAGGGTAGGAACGTAGATCCACCGGTAAATCGAGAGCTTCGCCTTCTGACTCAGCTCTCTCTTCACCACGACAGACCGGTACAACGCCCGCATCACTGCAGATGCAGCACCAATCCACCTATCGATCTCACGCTCCAGTTTTCCCTCACTCCTGAACAAGACCCCGAGATACTTAAACTCCTCCACTTGGGGCAGGACCTCATCCCTGACCCGGAGAAGGCATTCTACCCTTTTCTGACCAAACACATATAAAGTGGTGGTGGGTGGGCAGTTCTGGACGACACACATTTTAGTGTTTTTTCTGTGTTCTAGTGTTTTCTGAGGATTGTGGTTCATAACCGAACCCAGTTCAGCCTCTAATTCCACAGAAACCAGATTCCAAAGCAGGACGAGGACTGTGTCACATTTGTTCCTCAGAGCCCAAACAGAAGTCCGAGACCCGGTTCCGTCTCATGCCAGAGCATCCTGTAGGACAGACGGATGGACTCCAGCGCCCTGAAGACTCCGCTGCAACCAATCCAACGTGGCCTTCTTTCCCTCCGCCCGTCTCCACTGAACCAGGCCGGCAAGAACTGCTGAATGCGTACTCAGAGTGTGATCGGACCGGCATCGGAAAACTGCCTCCGCTGACAGCCCCAGATCCATCAGAACCACCTCCCACTCTGTCCCGAGCCGTGATGCTAGCCGGGACAATTCCCGGTCCGTTGGGATCCTCTGGAGATCCGAGTCTGGGATCCAGCAGTCCTCTGCAGGGACACAAACAGGAACGTCACAGACCAGAACTCATCTGGACATTAAAAAACAAACGGATTATATTCCCACTGTCTGGGGAAACTCCTTTAAAACCAGGATACGCAAGTTGAAACTGTTAAATAACTTTTAAAATACTTCCACCCTCTGACCCTGTTCTGAGGAAAAGTAAGTCATCTTTCTCCGTAGTCCCTCCCCTGGCCCTGCAGCTAAACCAATCATTTCTGCGAGCCTACCATGTTGACAATAGCGCTGCTTTTCCACCAGAGGGGGCTGTCGGTCAACGAGAGCCAGCCCCAGTCACCAGCAGTGTTGGGAACGTTACTTTAAAAAAGTAATTAGTTATAGTTACTGATTACTTTGTCAAAAAAGTAATTCAGTTACTAACTGAGTTACAAGATCATAAAAGTAACTAATTACCAACAAAAATAACCACTTAGTTACTTTTTTCATTAAAGAATGCAATAATTACTACAATAGTGAAATATAAATGACTAATGACTGAAACATAATAAAATGTATGTCTAAATGTTTTTTTCTTGACCTGAAAATTTTAAATAAATAAGCACTTAACAGGAGGAACTACTAATAGGAACATTACACTTATCTAGACTATTAAAAGGTCACTGTGTGATATTTAACAAGACCCCAATCAGCTAAAATTTAAAATTGCAAATAGAAACACCTGTAAAGGTTCCCGAGCCTTTAAACGGTCTCTCAGTCTAGTTAAATTACAGAAATAAATGTAGTTTTGCACAGTATTCTGATTTTTCCAGCTTCACATAATTGTGTGTTTTAGCAGCATTTCTGTTGCTGCTAATCTAGTAACGGTTAAATAAATAAATAAATAAATAAAATAAAATGACACTAGAAGAGGCACCAGCCTGATGGAGGACTTACATTTACTAACGTGGGTCAGACCCAAACACAGAAGAGCTGAAGCTGGGTGGTAAACACACACAGGTAGTTCTAATAACACCTGAGCTCCATGCCGTCTGAGACTGATGCATCAGTGTTACAGCGGGACTAAAGACATGATCAGGAACAGGTTACAGCTGGATGATCTAGGAAGGCAGAAGATCAGGACGTCTGAGCGGTGAACAGGTGAGCGGACCTTCGGGACGTCCCGCTGTCACGCCAAGAAGGGCACGGCTGCAGACCCACACCTGCAGCAGCGAATCTGCGGGGGGTCTGCAGCCGTAGATATTCATCACGTCTTCCTCGTTCTTCACGGGCCGTGATGCGCTTGGATGAAAACATCTACCTCAGTCTTTAGCTCCTGATCAGCTGATGACAGCTTCAACACACCGCGCTGCTTAATGCACACATTTCCTTATCAGTTAAAAGAAACGACGTTTTGTTAAAAGAAGACGGTAATGAATTAGTTAGTTCGTTACTGAAAGAAATATTTTTTATTAACGTGGTTATTTTAAACGGCGCTATTCCCGTCATTGCTTTGTTGTGTCAGCGTGCGGTGACGGTGAGAACACTGAGGGTCTTCGCCCACCCGGCTAATCATCATCGTGTTTGTAAGTGTGTTACCGACACCTCTCTCTCCCTGGCTGCAGCTGAAGTGTGGCGGTCAGAGAGCCTGTTGCTCAACGTTCATAAGCACATAGTAACGCACAACCTTCCGTCCCCGGTAACGGTAACGGCGTTGCAATGGCGGGAAAAGTAATTAATTAGATTATTCCGTTACCTATAAAAGAACGCCGTTAGAAACGCCGTTATACTTAAACGGCGTTACTCCCAACACTGGTCACCAGCGTGCACAACGGTGTCACATCTACTTCCTGTCCCCCATCCAACCCCCTCCCTCCCAACCATGGTCCATCTGTACTCCTGTAGATTTCCGGGACATGTGCCTCATTCAGAAACACATGAAAGCAACCTCACGCCCTGCTGATTTCAGTCCTACTACCTTGTTCATCGGGATGTTTCACCAACCTGACCCATGCATTGTAGATTTTATTAATGCATCCCTACAATCTGGCTCTGAACCATCTGTGTTCAAACATGCAGTTATTGAACCATCCTTAACCCTCCCACTGTCCTCATGGGTGACCCCGCCAGGAAAGTTAACCATTGAGCAGAATTGGTGGTTTATCCCTTGAGGTCCACGTGGCAGGGGTGAGATGGTGCTCACTCATTAAACCTTTGATATGTTTAATGTGAGGCTTCCAACAGATTTTATGATCCAACCTAACACCCCAAAATCTGTATTCATATACCCGTTCCATACATATATCATCTACTGTTACTGGTACTGGATCCATTACTTTTTGTTTTCCAAACCATAAAATCTTTGTTTTACTTACATTTATTTGACAATATATTCATTTCAAACCACTCATGTAAACTCTGCCACGGTGCCCACATCACTGGTCAGCTGTGAGGGCGAGCCTTTTGGTTGATCAGTTAGACAGACGGATGTTTTTTTCCTTACCCACCCCCCTCTGACCACTAACTGGTTTTAAGTGTAGGTGAAGACAGACACAGGTAAGGAAGTCAGGCTGGAGGGTCTTAAAGGCGCCGTGTGTGAAATTAATTAAAATCAGGATGAAAAATATGACTCTTTAGCGCCATGCAGGTCAGAGAAAGTATTGCAGCTACGGCGGCCCACTCGTGAGTTTGACTGTAAAACCAGTTTCCAGCCTGTGTAGCCTAACCCACACAAAGCTTAAAACTAGCTACTCGACCTCTTTAAAAAGCATTTATAATTATGACTGTTTATCACCTACCAGGTCTGAAGGAAGCAAGCTAGTTCTGTTAAAGCGGTCACCATTCACACACGGAGGGGTGACGTCAGTCGGGAGGTCAGGTGTTGTGAGAAACTGTGTTCCCCTGAAATATTCTGTCCCCCCGTGTCGGGAGATCACACTTCTGGCTGTTTTCACAACATGTGTGATAAACCTTTACGGTAAAATGATGTAATGTAATGTAATAATGTTATGCTTGTGATTTTTATCTGTATTTCCTCCTAAAAACAATAAAAAGATCCAGTAAAAACATTCTTGTTCACTCTTTAGCAGCAAGCTTATTAATCATTTAGAAAGTTATGTAAAACGATGTAATCTCACTCAGTTTAACATCTTTTATTTCAGCTAGTTTAGTCCTCATAATGGACAAGAAGTTCTGTGGATTTGGAAATATTTGCTCTTGACTGCCTAACGGAAACACAATAAGGGAAACAGAATATTTCAGGGGAACATACTTTCCCACAACACCCGTTTCACGTGGATCACGAAGCCTCGATGTAAACAAAGTGGCTTCCGCTACCAGCCTATATGGATATGGAGCGATGGCTGGATGATCGTTAACCACGCTGGTGAAGGAGTGTTGGTGAGCCGGGGACACGCTGGAGAACAAATAAACAGCAGCCACGTTTACATGCGCATATTTAATCGGATTGAATGCCCAATCAGATCGAAAATTCTGCATGTAAACATGTCAATCCGAATATTCTGATCCGATTCGGCCCGATCGGATTGAAATTTCAATCCGATTGAGAGGTGGTTTATTCCGTTCATCATTCCGATTGACGTGCATGTACACAGCCATTCGGACTGTTGGGGTAAAATAATGCCCACTGCGCATGTGTGCAACAGCGAGCGGGCCTCTCCGCTGTCATTTGGACTGCCTGACTTCAAATAATACGGAGTAACGAGCGACGGCTTTTAAATTCGATGACAAGCCGTCCCCGTTTCAGTAATATTTCATTCAGAACTTGCATTTTGTGGAAGTAAAATAAAAATCGGATCATTGCACAAATCATTCGACAAACATGTTCAAATCTGTACTGGAAGTACGCAGGTTTATTGCGGGGGTTGCAGCGCACGGATCCCCGTTTCTGTCAGCTTTGAGCGCAGCAGCTTCTGCAGCAGGTGATGGAGACGCGCTTGTAAAGAAGACAGGATAATCTGGCTTTTACAGACCTGACTGGAGGCTGATGTTGGGTAGGAAAGCGTCCCCGGTTAAATATTCTGAACGACAGTAAAGTCCGTGTTAAAAGCATGTAAACGCAGATGACCTGAGACGCAGTTTGTTAATGATGTCTTCTAAACATCTTCTGTTATTTTGTTTGAACTGATTTTTCTCAACAGTTTCAGCTGATTGTCACATGTTATTAATAATAAGCCACAACAGAGCTCAGTAATTTAACATGAGTCTAAACCTATTTAATCGGATTACATGCTGGGTGCATATGCGAACACGGCATGATCGGATCATTTCAGTTCGTGTCCATGCGAACAGAGATTCGGAATTCCGATCAACCAAGATTTCAATCGGATTGAGGAAATCAGGCGCATGTAAACGTAGCTAGTGCTGACTTATCCACCAGCTAATCGTTAACCACAGCTGGCGTGGTGGAGATGGGCGTCACGAGCTACTAGTTAGCCATGGCTAGAGCCGGGGAGACGCTGTGTGTAAACTCCCACGGATCACCAGCAAAAGGAGACCCAAGTCTAAAGGTAACGTTTGAGAAGAAGCCCTCTTGAGTCGGAGCGTCTCAGTAACGCGTGGAGAACTACATCGCTGTTAGTAAAGCGTTGTGGAGATAAAGTAAACAACGCTGCTTTAGCCACTGGCTAGCAGACGAGCGCTGGAGCGTGTTGGGAGAGACGGCAGGCTGCAGGAAGAGAGGAGACTTGAGTAGAAGGACTTTGGAACGGACACGCTGGGACTGGGTCAGGAGTTCTGGTACTGACACGCTGGGACCGGGTCGGGAGTTACGCTGGGACCGGGTCGGGGGTCCTGGTACTGACACGCTGGGACCGGGTCGGGAGTTCTGGTACTGACACGTTGGGACCGGGTCGGGAGTTTTGGTACTGACACGTTGGGACCGGATCGGGAGTTCTGGTACTGACACGTTGGGACCGGATCGGGAGTTCTGGTACTGACACGTTGGGACCGGATCGGGTGTTCTGGTTCTGACACGTTGGGACCGGATCGGGTGTTCTGGTTCTGACACGTTGGGACCGGATCGGGTGTTCTG